CGCATTAAAATTTTTAAACCACCCATTGTTTTCGAATTCAGTCGCCATCTCTAAGTTAATAAGAACCTCTCGAGACTTAGCTCCGCGAATTAACACGTTCAAGTATCCATCGTAAATGGAACCGTCTAATGGAAAACTCACTAAGCAGCGGCCGGTATAAAAGTCAGAGTCGCGAAGGGTTCATTTGCATGCAGGTCAAGTGAAACGTTAACACGATTACTCGTGCAATTTGCAGGCGTGCGAAACGACGCAGCTAGGGACTGCTAGCATCGATGAAAATTGCTGGCGGGCGACGCGAGAATTTAACCGGTACGCGTCAATTAACAATTATAATTGCGTTCGAGCGCGGCGTAAAACAAGCACCGTGTATAATTCGTCTAACAGCCGGCCTCGTTCAAAAGCGTTTAATGGCCGTAGAAAGTACCCTTGTCCCTAACGTAATTGAAAACGCTTTGCCGCTATTATTAAAATTAAATATCATTATATCGACCGGTTGGTTAATGATGGCAATTTATCGTCCGTTTAATCCTAACCTCCATCCTATCTTTCTCTCTCTCTGTCTTCTCCTATGGCTAATAACGGAATCTACCTTCACAGGGTTGAAACACGATTTTATTACCGTCGTAAAATAGTCTCTCACTCTCGTTTTCGCAAGCAAAGCGCCGGCTTCTAGACGGAGGAACGAGCTGGATAGAAGAGGAGAATTCGAGACGACGAGAGAAGCAATTATCGTACATGTTCTCTCGATTCTTAATGTTCTTTCTGTTTAATGGAATCGCAGGAATTCGTGCCGACCCTGAACTCGTCTCGAGAAACTTCGCGACACCTCAGCTGGCTCTGTGTACACACTGTTCTTGCCTTGTCAATCTGCAGTTTTGAGGCAGGGGTGAATTTACAAGTAACTTGTTGCCGTTCTATGGACGTAGCGTGGAAGCACCTTGTACAGTGAGACGTATGCGATAGTATCTGAATATTTAGTAAAGGGGACAAACAGAAATCAGAGAGAAACAATGTAAATACAGATACACAGTGTCTTCAGAATTTTTATTACCGTTTGACGCTGAAACGAAAGATACAGAGACAAAGTATTTCTTCGAATTATTTTAGAAATATCGAAATCACTACCTATCTCTCATAGCTGCAATTAGCTGCAATTTTACACAAAGTTTCGACGACCTTATCGATTAAAAATCATCGTATTTCTTTAGAGAAGGAATTTCTCAGTCACTCAATAAACAGAAAAATATCATCGAGATTGTGT